TGCAAAGTAAACAGACGTTGTGTGGAAGCAAATTATAGATAACTACTTCAAAAGTCTGTTGAAAATGAATTCCTGGCCATTTGGGCTGGAAGGCTGGGGAGTGTTAATGGATGAGCAGACCTGCAAGGGGTAAGTACATGTACATATGTTCTGTATTTATTGCAATCATCCATTGCCTATTTGAAGGAGAGATCTGGGAATTATCAGTCAAGATGCTCCCTTGGGGAAAATGTCTATGCTGTGTGTGTTCAGTAGAGGAAGATGAGCTGTTGTCTCCCCTGTGTGTTTCTGCCTTCTCTTGCCATTGAATTCCAAACTCATCTGCATGAACACAGCTTCTCATTCCCAGAGTACCTCCTGCCTTTGTCAGGATACTGGCTCTTCCATGACAGTACTTTGAATATAACTTTGTTGCTTATCTTGATCCCAGCTGAATGGAGTTTATCCTAGCTGTAGGAGGTAATTTTTCCATCTCATCTCATGAGCAAGATGGATGACACAGACTCAGTCTAGTACATATTTGTTTGTCCCCATCCAAATGCAACTAAAGCAATTGTAGGTATTCTCTGATTGAAAAGGAGAAAGAACAAAAGTGGGTTAAAAAAAAAACACCCAAACCAACAAAATCTGAAACTAACCAAACATACACAGTTCCATCAAATTCTAAGAAGGAGCTGAAGGGAAACAAGATTTAATGACACTGAGACTTCTACCCTCTGGCTGTGGTAATTTTGCCTTGCTTATAGATCCTTTCAGGTTTCAGCATAAACTTTTTCATGTGAGAAAACATAAAATATTTCAAGTTATTAAAAAATAATAACCTGATTTAAAAAAAAAAATATCCTAGTTGGAGGCCTTCTCATTACCTTCCTACCTGTGTGTGGCTAGTTGTAATTCTGGTAGGTCCTCTTACATTATGCTTGTTACTAGAATAGATGGAGGGTTGAGAGCTGAAAGCAACATATGAAGGCATCTGTGCAGTTGTTAGGAGTTGGATGTTATAGCAAAGGGTGCCAAAATTTACGAAATAAGTATCTTGAAGTGTTTTTTACACTTATGTATATTGTCTAGGCTTAGAAAGGAAAGGGGAGGAAGAAATCTGCTGCTCACAGTAACTTTGCAATGCCCTTAACCTGTGCAGACTTCAGAGCAAAAAAAAACACCACATGGCAATCCTATTAGTGGAAAAAAAAAAAAAAAAAGAAAAGAAAATAAGCCTTTTAAGACAACCCACACCTGTATGCCTGGAACTAATGAGGGAAATCACGTTTTTAACAACCCATCTCAGGAACACAGGCCTAAAAAAAACTATTTCAGGCAGTCAAAATGCCTTGCCTTTCTGCCTAGCTCTGCTATCCAGTCTGGCCCTGCTCACATTAGAAGAGATTTTTCCTGACCAGGAATGACCATCATGGGCTCTGCTGACATCAAGAGGATCTCTGCACATTTGTCTGTTGTCACATTGCACATGCGTTCTGTTATCCTGAAGACGGCAACCATACGAAAGTGCCTCCATGCTTTGCCCACTTGAATGTCGAAAGACACAAGTAAGTGGTAATTAAGTAGCCCATAGCCAAAGCACTTCTCCAGTTGTTGAAGCAATCAGCCTCTGTGTAAACTGGTTTGTAGTGCTGGAAGGGAAGCAGGGCAGAGAAAAAAATAAGCTGTCTGTATAACCTGAAGCAGATTTCTTTGGGGGGAGTGGGAAGAAAGCCAGGCTGCTAGTCACATAACCACACTACTGGCTTACCATTTGTCCAAAAGCAATTACTAGGAAATGGCAGGTGAGGCAAGAGAACGAGGTTATAGCTCAGCTGTAATGCAGAGCCAGCTGGAGCCACTGATCTGGTCCTCAGCAGCACAAGAGTTTCTCTTCTTGACATGCAGGTAACTCACTCTGCCAGTTCAGACATTCCAGCATGGTGAGTGATGGAGTTCACTGCTGGAGAATCAGTGAAAGGCTGCTTAAAGCAAAGCTTGACCTCCAGGCAGCTACCCCAGGGTGCAAGAGTGGAGATGTCCAAAGCTGCAGAACTTCACGTGTTCCGGTCAACCACAGGAAATGCCTTCAGAGACAGAAGGCTGGAGGAGAAATGAAAGCACGTGGGGAAACTGAATTGTGCCCGAGACCCAGCAAAAACATCCTCAGCCCTCGCTTCCTGCCTCCACACACACTGCATTGCTCAATGTGATGGAACATCCAAGCAGTGCCACGCTGCCGGGTCAGTGCAGCTCTCTGTGTGTTCCACCTGAGGTTCACCAGTGTGACAGGAAAGGGTGTGCTGTTAGAAGGTACTGAATTCCTGCTCTTCTTCTTTTACCTTGTACCCAGCTCCTTTTCTGCCTGCCATGGTTAGCAGAGGGAGCTAGTGACTCCCACTTCATCAGGGATAAATCAGAAGGCTGCTTACAGTTATCTTGAAGGAGCCCTTAGCCAAGCCTGTGGGATATGAATGCCTGGTCCTGTGCTACCCAGTGCTCGGCATGGAGGTACATCCCCTAAATACAACATGCTGGTTTGGCACAGGTTGAAGCCAGACCCTGCACTTACAGCCAGCCCTTTGGGCCACCCTGGGAACATCAGGAGGTCTGCTTTGGGAGCTGGTCATCCTGCAAGCCATCTTGTAGGTTATTTCACTGCCCTAGCCATTCCTCAGCAACTTCCTACCATTCCTGCTCGTGTTCTCCCCTTCTGCGTAACATGGGTGTCTGGGGCCTCTCTGAAATTGCAGCCTGCTGAGCCTGTGGCTGTTGACTCAGGCACAGTCACGGCTGCCTGTGGGTCAGGGATGGTGACTATCGTCAAGACTTCATTTATTTGTGTTGTAGTTATTTTTAAAGATGGGACACAAATTCCATGAGAGAGACTCATCTAGTGATCATGTGAAGAGCGTGACCAAGCAGCTACTCGTGGATGAGCTGCTTTGGGCAAGCTGAATTCAGCACATAAGCCTCCAGTTCAGCTAAGGGAGAAATTCTGGAGGGACGACACTGGATAAAGAGTCCTCCAGCAACTCAACAAAAACATGAAAAACAAAGGCCTTGCCATAGTCTTTCTTGTTACCTGCCAGTCCTGTTTGAGTTCCAGACATCTCCCAGCTCTTCTACTTTGCATCCCTCTTTTTCTGGTTTGATACTTTTCCAAGGCATAAAAAATGTGGGAACTTTATCTCTTCCTAAGAGAAACAAAAAATGGGAATTGCTTGCAAGCCTGGAATGCAGCGAAGTCAATCAGCTTCGTGTTATGCAAATTTCAAGAAGTATCAAAACTCAAGGCAGGATCTAAGAACTTAAGAGACATGAGGCGGGTGAAGACTAATAATTTCCATGGGTTTGCCTGTCAGACAATGTCTATTCCCAGTTGGATGGGCTCTCCACCAGAAGTGACTGGTGATTGTAAATGCTCCTATTTTTAAGATGTTTGCTTTGTAAGTAAGAGGCTGGTTTCCAAAAAATACTAGGTACTCACTGGACAAGCCTTCAGGCTCTTGATAGATCTCAACCTGGGTGACTAAAATGATCAGTCAGAAGGGAATAAAAAGAAAAGTACAGAAGCAATGAACAGATAATCATTATTGCTATCACATTATGGGCCTTATGCAGGGTGCTGGAGAAGATGATACAGGTTAATTGGAGAGAGGGAAGGAGCCCCTTTACCCATTAATAAAGAAAGAGATTGTCAAGGGGGAAGTTTTTGCCATCGCTGAGAGTGGATGGAAGTGAGGAAAGATGGCAAGAATAGCGAGATGGGGCTAGAGCCAGTGTGTAAGGAGGAAAGGTGTAAGACCTCCCCTGAGTGACTTGTGAGGAAAGAAATGGTGGTACGGTACCTTTTTCTTACAAGGAGGAAGAACTTGCTTAAGGTGCCAAACCTGCTACCTGAAAGTCTTGGCTATATGGGGGCTTGATGGTGTCATTTGAACAAGGCATGAAGGAAGGACTTCACTTTTAACCTTGACCATCCCATTTTTGTTTGAGTGGCACTTCACCCTAAGCATTGCTTCCATTAATTCTTTTGAATTTTCATGTGTTTTAATTCTTTTTCATTAAAACACAGCATGATTTTTTTGCTATGTTCAAGAGTGGTGACTCTAGGAGCTAGCTGGTTAACTTCAGTGTGATTACATACCTGTCACTCAGTTTTCTCATCCTCCTGATTACTGCAATCTTATGCAAGTATGTGCACTTGTGAGTATAAGAAATACATCTCCAGGGGCTTCTGTCCTACTCAAAGGTACTCTCCCTTGGTACTGGTTTGAATGCATCCCACGTCCTGCTCTGCCCTCTTACATTGCCCCATGAGTTCACTTGAGAGAGCCTGGCTATCTGTTCTTTGCTTTGCCTGACTTCCAGCCTGTGAACTGCTTGAATGCTTGCTGTTAATCCTGTCAATGGAAAGCACAGTCACATTGTCAGAGGTGATTATCGTGGTACTTAATCGATAGAACTGGAGCTTCCTAGCACAGCATTATGGATGAAATAGCTGTAAACTAGTGCTGGGGAGTCAAAGGCAGAGAGAGAAAACAACTGTACAGCTCTCCATGCCAGCATGGTTTCACATGCCACCCAGCCAGAAGCAGCCCCTGCATCCTTTCCCTTCTAATTCAGCATCTGCTTTCCAAAAGTCTTGGGTTCTGTTTGAGTAACTGATGCGTTTATGTAGATCAGAGTCAGCATCAATATGTATGGGAGGTTTGTCTTACTATTTAATTTCTAAGGGAACTGCAGGAAATTTCTTGTGGAAGCTGGTATTTTTACACAAGCCTGAAGGGGGCAGTGGAAGCTAACAAATGAGTAAAACCCTGCATGTACTGTCATCATAACCACCAAAAAAAAACCAAAACCTTTTCAAGGTATGCAGTGCCCTTTCTCTAAGGCTGTGTTTCAGTAGTACGGGGAAATAAAAGTTTCTTTAATGGCTGTCTTAAATCTTCCAGATGAGACAGAAATCACTGTCATAGAAAGGATTTATTTCCAGTGAAGTAATTGTTGAACACCATTGCCCCAACATCTGCCACTGGGAATACAGTCTCCACCTGACAGGCTCATTTGTCAGTGCAGGTGTTGAAAGGTGGAGGGGTTTCTGACAGCAGTCCACCTAGGCTGCCTTCAAACTAAAGTCGTTTGGAGCCTTTGCTCTCTGAAGCGAGTTTGTGGTTTCTGTTGAACTTTTAATTGTGTGAGAAAAAAATTGAAGAGAAAAAGCCCTTCAGAGAAAACTACCCCAGGTAGCACTTACAGCTGGGTAAGGTCAGACTTCATGCCAAGGCCTTCATTCACCACCTTCTGACATATTCACCAGCCAGTCTTGCTGATCATCATAAGCAATGTGTTCCCATGCTCCTGGCAGGGCAGGATGTTTCTTCTCAGCAAGACATTCCCTCCTCACTGCTTCTGAATCACTGAAGTCCCCAGGACTGCTGTGCCAGACCAAGTATTGTGCTTGGTCTGTAAACCAACATCCCGGCAACCCTTCCCGGGCCTGCTCCTACCCACTTTGCACCAAAGGAAAGACCCTTATCCCTGAACCAAGATCTCATGCTTCAGCCTCTCCATGCTTAACCCAAACTGATCTCTTACTACCCTGCCTTTACCTTTCTCTGATTCACCACTGATAATCTGCCTTAAACCCTAAATTGGCTGTTCATCCAAGCCAATCCCAGGATATAAGAGGTGCCTTTTACTAGGCTTTGTACCCAGGCAGCAGTCACCCTGAACCACCTGACGAATTTTTACCCTGAGATCACCAACTCTAGCCAGCCATGCACTCCAAATGTAGGGGATATGAGTACATGTGTATGTGCCCACACATACATAATTGCTGGGGCATCTTTCTGCCTAATCCCTTGGGTCACTCTGTACCTGTCGGCATCCAGAGAACAGTGACGGGAGACAGGAGCCCTCAGATGAGGTGCTCCAGAGCCGCATGCAGCACTGGACCTCTGCAGCCCACCACCAAGTCAGAGAGCTTTCCAGGGATGGAAGCAGAGCCTATATATGTTGGTGGGAATGGCCTTTCTTTGTCCCGCCAGACGTTGCTGGCTACTTCTGTAAGATCGGTCTACGTCTACTTATTGGAGTGCAGCCAGCAAAACTTGGAGCCAAATCCCAGACTTCCAGACTTGACAGCTTTGACTCGTAGCTTGAGAAATACCAAGAAAGTATTCAATTGTGGCACAGCTCTTGTGGGCTGCTCAATGCATCAGTGCTGGGCAGCAAGCAGGCAGCAGCCCTTCAGCAGTAAATGCAAGTGGCTTTAATCTCAAAGACTCACCTCTAGCAATGGATTCTTCAGCAGAAGTCCCAAAGTGTCCTGTGAACCAATGTTCACCTCTTGTCTTTGGTCTGTCTTTTCACACCTGCATTCACCAGGATAAGCTTGGTGGATAGATCCATCCTGCATCAGTAGGTCAGGTAGGTTGTTCTGCTATGGCCTTACCTCTTAGCTTAACAAAGGCATTACTGTCTGTACGTATCTGTGTATGTATTTTGTTTTCCCTTGTACCACACACACATCTGTGGGGAGCCTCCTTCTCACACACCACAGCTGAGAGGCTCCTTTAATTTTGTCATTTACTTAATGTGCTTAAAAAGCAACTTGAAAATAGATTTAATTGCACTCTTGGGAGGAAGGGAGTAGGGAGAAGAAAGTCCTGGAGTAAAGGGAAGAAAGAGGAAAGGATTAATTTCTATCATCCTCATAGTTTTCTTTAACTGTTCCAGGCTTGCACTTGATATATCTGCATTAGCTTGAGATGGAACAGTCTGTTGATGAGGCCTGAGCTATAGAGGAGACCCAGTGCCTGGTGTGAGGAAGTTGTGTGGTTTCATAGCGGTAATAGTTTCACTGTTGTGTTGGAACACAATTTGTAGCAGAGGAATCGTGAGGTCCTTTCTGGCATTTTTTTGAACAAGGAGGAGAAAGCTTCTCTGGCTTTGCAGAGCAGTATCTTGTAATTGCTGGGGCCGAGGCCTTCATCCCAACAATTTTTTGCATGGCCTTTGAAAAATCCTGCTCTGCCATGTGTGCCAAGCAACTGCAATGACTTAATGAGTTTGGTTTTCAGAGACTTGACTAGATAGATGTTTGACCTTATTCATGTTTGCAAATGTGTCTTGTTCTAGTTGCTAGTGAATATGCACTCTCACATACAGCAACAGATGCAAGAAAAGAGATGGGGTTCTTCCCGAGACTTTCTGGTTCTGCATAGTCATTTGGAAATCAATTTAATGCATTTTAATTGCCTATTTTTCTCCTTGGTTTTCTCTTTACAGCTACACACCAGCAAAAAAATAATAAGGTAGAGTCTAGCCAGGCAGGCTGCTAATGAGGAAGCTTGACTCAAGAAGATTTTAATTTTCAGCATTTGTTCTTCGAGATAGCCATTTCAGCATGCAGGGATGTCACAAAACAGGAATGCTACCATTAGGTAATGGAACAAAGGCACTGGGCTCATACGTCATTTTGTTACATGAAGAGCTAAACACTTGCATCCTTGACCTAACTATAGGAATCTGGCAATCCATTTCAGGATGCTGGTCACCTCAGCCAAATCATCCCTATAAAGAAATCACCCATTGTGCATGACACACAGTGTGAAAAGAATGACGGAGATACAATTCAAGCTGTGAAGAGGGAAAGGTGTATGTTAAAAGCCCAATCTCTTGCCAGCCTTCTGGTAAAGGGAAGCTTCTGGCTCTGCCAAGCTGATCAAAGGGCTTCTCAGAAACCCCTCACCCATGGGGAATTGCTGTGGAAGACACGATTTAGCTGAGATCCGTGGCACCCCTGGACAGCCAGAGCAGGCAGGGTTGCACAAATTTGGCCCAGGAGTTGGGATCAAAGCCAGCCCACCACTGTGGTGCCTCCAACTCCACAGCTGGTGCAGTTTAGCCACGACCTAGGTACTGCTGAATACTGTATCTGAAGCATGCCATTGCTACCAAAGTAGTATGCTGCAGGCAGCTAGACATATCTGTGTTCAGCATATCCATTCAGTTCTGATAGTCTCTTATCATTTCATCTTTTCAGATGAAAAGCTTCAAGTTTCATCCCTGTCCACAGCCACACTGGGAAGTTCAATGTTTTGAGAAAATGAGAGGGGAGGAGAGAATCTTGCTTTACACCAATTGATTGTAGTTATCATTACCTACTTTACATGAAATGTAAAGGATGCCCCTCAATAGTGCATAGCCACAAGTGAGTGAATAAAACCTTGGCACCTTATTTCATCACCTGGAAAATATTTCCTTTCTCCCTCAATACCTCTCATCCTTTGAGTTCTTCTATCACCCTGGAAGTACTGGAGAAAGGGGGAGCAGGGACTGGTGTTTGCAAGCATCTGGCACAAGGGGGAGCAGGGACCGGTGTTTGCAAGCTTCTGGCACACGGGGTCATAATCAAAACTGCTGCTAGAGTAGTCCAAATCCTATTCATAAAGTTTGTGAGGGCGAGCCCAGAAAGTTTAAAGCAGTGATTTTGCATTTGCTGGAGTTTAACAAGGTTACTGACTGCATCAGAAAATGAGGTCAGTAAAAAGTATACAAGTATTGGATTGTCGATATTAGGAGGATAAACTTGGGTTAGAGAAGAGCAATAAATAGGACCGTACACACGAAGAGAGCCAACAGGCTAGATCTCCTGGGGCTTGGTGCCGGGACTTGTTCTGTTTAAGAGTGTTGTACGAATGAGCCCGATGTTGGCGCGATATGCGGGGCGTCCAGATGCGGATGACATCATGATAGGAGGGGAGACTGCTGATAAATCTCAGGAATGCACCAGACTGCAGGAGGATTTGGAGACACTGGGGGAACAGGCTAATACACAGGAATTCTGTATTACACAATGGAAGGTTATTCGTTTAGGGAGAACCAATAGCACATTTAAATGCAAGTTTAATGACTTAGAGCAAGAGGAAACTAATGAAGGAGAAGACTTGAGCTGGTGCTGAGGAGCGGTAGGGATAGCAGCAGCCAAGTAAATAATAGTGCTGCTGAGATTTTGGAAAACAGGGCTCAAGCTGCAGCCAGAAAGTCCAGGACTTCACATTGGGTTGCTTGTTTCATGCGGCAACCAGAGTGCTCTTGGCACCATGTTCAAGAGGAGATGCTACTGTAGCACACATCTTGGCAGAGACACTAAGGACATATTTGGTCCCCCAGTGCACTTCGTGTGACCATAACTCAACCACACATGCCACCTTTGGTGTAAGTCAGATTGGTCTAGGTCTCCTCTGGTTGCAGAGGGAGATGTACTCAGGGACCAACTACCAGCAGAGAAGAGAGAACCAGACGAGTTACAGGGGCCTGTCACTAAAAGCAGACTTTACAGGGGATGTAGAGTTCATAGGCTTATGAGTTTATGAGTTATGTCAAGAGGGAAAGGAACCCATTTTGCAGTGGAAGATCCACACACAGCCTTTCCTAACTCCTGACCGTCACAGGCTCAGCCCAGGCCTTACAACCATACTCGTGGGTCACCACTTCCACAAAGCCTTCTGCAGGAACCCTGCTCCTACAGATGAAATATAGACATCTGGAAAAAACTGCTTCGCTCTGCCCAAAAACGAAGGTGCGACCCCACGCCTCGGAGGATGGATGAGGTGAAAGCCGTCATCCCTGCAGTGTGCAGGAACCGATACCTACATGAGTCCCAGTCTCCTCCAGACATTGTAAATCTGGTGTTCCCCTTCCCCCGGAGAAGGGTCTGCTCTGCTGCCAGCTTGATCCCCTGTGTACCCAACCAGCCTTTCCTTCATTAAGTGCTTTTGAGTGAGGCAGAAAGACTTGTTACCACCCTCTATACAGCAACTGGAGAAGTCTGAGACATGCAAAATATTTCTGGAGCTAAAATACATTGTCTGGTATAAAACTTTGTCACTGCTTCTTTGCAAGTCTGTCTACACTGCACAAGTATAAAAATTTGCCAGTTCTTTAGTACTGTTTCACAAACAGAGCATTATACATGCTCATACTTTTTAACCATGCACCGTATTGCACATTTCACAGAACCACACAGAATATTAGGGCTGGAAGGAACCTCTGGAGTCCAACCCCCTCCAAGGCCACCTAAAGCAGGTTACACAGGAACACATCTAGGTGGATTTTGAATGTCTCCAGACAGGGAGATGCTGCAGCCTCCCTGGGCAGCCTGTTCGAGTGCTCTGCCACCCTCTTTGTACAGAAGTTCCTCCTCATGTTGAGGTGAAACTTCTCACATTTTAGTTTTTGGCCATTTCATTGGTAGTGCCCAGGAAGAAATGCAGTGTATCAGTACTTTGACTTTTGATGGTTGTTTTCTCGTGGGAAGAGAGCACCAGAATCACCATAGCGGGACCCCAGTATCACACAACAGAGCCGGGATTCAGCCCACTGCTGGCACCTACCTCAGCCTGGACCAGCCTTTGAGAGGAGATGCTGCACATTGGCCCCAGCCAGCAGCAAGGGGTCTACTCAGAGCACAGAGCACAAACCTGTTCGCGACTCAGGTTTGTAGAAGGGGCAAACCCAAAAGGAAACAGAGCGGCACCGATGCAGCGTATATCATCATTAAATTATTGCTCTGAGCTAACGTCTCGCTTTAATTCAGTCGCTGCGTTCTGTATATGGGTCTGATGTGGCTGTCTGCTGTCTGTCTTGATTTCAAAAAGTCGGTGTCTGAGCGGGTGACTGTAGCTCCAAGAAGGTTTAAGGTCCTTTGCCTCCAGTCCCTGGCTGCGTTCCTAAATAGTCGTTTAAAGAGAGTCCACTAAATCAAAAGCCAGGTAAATCAACAGAGCACTCAGCGTTGTAATGAGACCGGTTATAAGGTAAATTACAACATTATTCAAGCACACAAAATTCCTCCTCTGGCATTTGTCCTGCTAAGTGCAATGCACCTTAAAAGTGGTGAAATGATTTCTGGCAGCCTGTGAAAGGGGCTGTGTCTGGGGGATGGGAGGCTGAGCACAGCCCCTGCCTTTGCATCAGCTTATAACTTTGGGAGGCTCTGGGCAGCAGCTGGCCACCGCTCAGGTGTGCTCTGTGTCTTGATTGAAAGTTTCATGGATGTGTTTTCAGAATGGTGCTGTACCGGCTGCAAACACTGGCCATGTGTTCTCTCACTTTCCAGCAAATCTTGTTACAGTTTTCAAAGCAGGGGATTAGAAAGACTTTAATTAGGGACTTGGTTAGGGAGGCTTGAGACTTATAAATCTTTTGTTACAGTGAATGAAATTCCGAACAGATGCTGATGCTTTTGAAGCTGCCAAGACCCAAAGGATGGGCACGCAGACCCTTAGGAGATGGCCATTATTATATACACTAGATATAAAAGGCTGTAAGGAAATATACAGGCAAGAAGCCCAAAAAAAAACGAACAAAATTTCTTTGCAGAGCACGGGTGGCTTTTTCTGATCCATCTGTACCTTGGGTTATGGGATGGGATTCTCTGCATTTATTGTGAGAAGATACATAATTTTGGTAAATAGTGGGGAGAGAGGTCCAACACCCCCCCCCCCCATCCTGCTTTCAAAACACTTCTGTGCAGGTGAAGCTGAGAGATCCTCATCTTACAGGACACTGCACAGAGAAACAATTTACCCCAAGTCTTGCAAGCCAGTCAGGGTGGAAGTCAGGAACAGCAGCCCTGCCTGTCTGCTGGGCCATGCTACTAACCTATATTTTCTCGTGAGGTGACAACAGGGGCATTTGGTTGAATTAGAGGTTCCCTGAGAAATACTGTAGCTACTGTGTACAAAGCTCCATGCAAACCATCCCTCCCAGTCTGCTGAGGCCCAACAAAAATGAGAGAAAAGCAAAATGCAGGAGGGAATACACACGCTCGCATGGCTTACTATGAGAAATCAATCTAGTGAGCATGAATCAAGACTCTTCGGTGATTGAAACATCCTGTATAAATACTCCACAGTCTTGGGAGTGTTTTCCTTTTTTTCCAAGGACAGCACTACCTTTACATGCAAGAGCTGAGTACAGAGGGCAAATTTATAGCTTTGCTTGCAAAGATGAACACAAGAGGTAAAAAGTGCCCATTCGAGCCTGTGTCATTTAGCTCCTTCCCACAGCAAAGGAGTGGTGTGTGGGGTTTGGAGGAAGCACATGTCAGACGCCAAGCTGCGCAGGGAAAGCCAACACAGAGTCCGGGGAGTGCAGGCAGCTCCAGTGCTGGAGGGGTGCAGGTGGGATGTACCGCAGAGCTGTGGCAGCACTTCCCACCCACCCCGCTGATGGGTGGGAAGAGAGACAGGGGGAAGGAAGGCTCCTTTCCTACTCCTGCCCACGTGCCTCTACAATGCACAGATTTTTTCTGCTTGTGATTGCTACAGTACAAACTGATCGCTATCAGGGCAGCGGAACCTCAGTGGGAACCTTGGGCTGTGCCCCAAGACAGAGGCTCTGTGGCCGCGCTATATCCCCTTCTTCCCAAACCCTCACCCCAGTCCGGACACTCCCCATAAGGGAGAGCTGTGCCACCACCAGACGAGTTTCTCAGCCTGACCTGGGCCACGCAAGCCATTGTGTGCTCAGTCCCAGCCAAGGTGGAAAGGTAGAGCGGGGCAGCTGTACTCTCCCTGACAATTTACCTAATTAGTAGCTAAATGCAGCAAGTGCTTTGCTTTCAAGCACAACTGCCTCTGCTATTAGCACCAGTTCTATTAGCCAGCTCACCCCCTCCTCCATGCTGTGGGATGTGTGGACGGAGAAAAGCTGCCCAGGAAGCCCATACGGCTCTCTGCAATGGAGATAGACCGTGATAAAAGAGGGGCCAGCAGAAGCACTTGTGTGGAAAGCTGGAGAAGTCTGGCTGCACAGCAGTGAACGGGGTGAGACATGGCCCAGCACAGCACTGGTGACAAGGGAAGGGTTTATTGCTGGGGTACACATCTGCTCACTGCTTCCAGGGGAGCAGAGCCTCCTGAAGTCCCGCTAGCTCTGCTGTGATTTACCCACAAGGGATCACGGCTGGTCAGTGAGACACCGACCTCAGACACAGGGACCACTGAGCCTGCCTGGTCTTAGAGCCTGAGCTGCCATGCAGTGATTCCCACGTGGGAAGAAGAGAGATGATGGGGAGAGGCAGTGGCAGCAGCCACATCTCCCCACCATTGTGTATGGACAGACTATCCCTGCACATGGTCTGTAGCCCAGGGGACTGCCAGAGATGAAGAGGAAGCCAGAGCCCTTCCTCCTTTCCCTTCCACCTGGGAGAAGAAGTCCTGCAGAAGAGTTAGCTGTCCCAAAAGGCAAGGGGGATCCAATTTCAAGTGCCTGCTGACCCACGGCTGGAGATCACTGTAAACTGCTCCAAATACTCCGTAACATTTTTATTTCTTTCTCCTTTTCTGTGGAAGGAGTTGTAGGTCTGTGTGTCAGAACTTTATTAATTAATTAAGGCCAAATTAATTAAAGCCAATTGTAGCCCCAGCAATTCTGGGTAGGGTTTAGCCAGTAGAGGCAGGGAAACAAAGCAAACAATGCAGGGGCCGGCCAGGCGTGCTCACCTTTTCGACAGCACAGAAGAAAGGACTTGGCATCTGGGAAGTGGCTTTTAAAAACGGCCAGGGTGCACTCGCTACAATGATCCACCGAAACAACAGCCGTCTAAAAATAAGGTTGTTTTCTGTACTAAGCTCCTTTTAACTTCGTTAGTCATCACCAGCTCCCAAAATAAGCTCCGTGTAACAGTCTCTCCTAGTAGCAGCTGTAAACAAACTTGGGGAGGCGGGAGGGAGGCGCAAGGGAATGGGAAGAGTAACAGCGGGCAGAGGCGGGGCGGCGGCGGGCGGCCGCGGGGCGGCAGACCGGGACTGTGGGGCCGGGGAAGCGGCGCGGCTGGGACCGGGCCGGGGTCTAGGGGCGAGGGGCGGCCGCAGGCCCCGCGCTGCGCCGCCGCCGCCGCCGTCTGCCTGCGCCGGCTGGCGGGGCCTTGGAGCGGCGCCACGGTGGTCCGGGCAACGGCATTAAACAGGAGGAAACAGACGGGGGATTCCGTCATTTGAGCGGGGGGGCGGGCAGGAAAGGAGAGTCCCGCCGGGGGGAGTGCGGTTCCCGCCCGCACCGCGCCTCACCCCCGCTCCGGCCTCCCGGAAAGGCGCCGGGATCTCCTCAGCCCCTACCGGGCAGTGGGAAACGGCCCCGCGCAACCCCCTCCCCGCCGGTAGCGCCGAGCGCCGCACCGGGGCCGCGCCGTCGGGGGGAGGCGCTGCCGTGCCGCCCTGTGCCTGCCCCTCCCAGCAGCGCCCCCTGGCGGCGCCCCTGTGTAGCGGGGCCCGGGTCCCATCACGCTCCGCGATCGCGGTCGCTCCGCGTTTGCCACGTCCAGGCTCCGTTTCACCTGGTGCCTTAGGAGAGACTTCAAGACTGGGGACGATAGCTTTGGGGGTTGAGGGGTTTTCCCTCTTCTTTCCCACTCGGTTTTTGCTTGAAGTAAAAGCATCCCCTTTTGTTTTTTTTTTCCCCACCTGAGGGGACAGCAGGGTCCGGTGGTGTCGGGAGGATGGCTGAGCTCCTGGCTAAGTGCACTCTTTGGTGGGGACTGCCTTCCACCATGATTTAGTGGAGGATCTCGCCCCGAAGGATCAGCCGCGGCCTCCTGTTCCCCAGGAGCAGACAGTATTTCGTTTATATTGGGTTTATTTTCAACCACATATGGGTGTCAGGCACTAGATTTATGATTTTATTATTTTTTTTCTTCACACACACCAGATACGCATAAAACCACCCCAGCGCTCAGCACGCCGCCGTCCAATTCCAACAGGAAAGCACGGTCCCCTCCTGCCAGCTGTGGGGGCAGAGGGACGGCGAACAGCGAGTGCAGGGAACGGGCAACGGGGCTGGAAGCGGCGGGGCCCCTCCAGCATCCCTCACCCGGGCGGCTCCGGCCCGTGCCGGGGTGTCACTGCCGCGGCGGGGGCCGGGACGGGGCATCCCGGAGGTGGGAGGCGGGAGGAGGAGCCGCTGTGGGTTGGAAATCTCTCCTTTCCCCGCTACGAAGTGATGAGATACAAGTGGGTTGCTGAGATATTTACAGAATAATAATAAATAAAACAATAATAATAAATCTGGAGCGACTGCAACCGAGTCCACCGGGTCTGTTAGTAATTTAGCAGAATGGGATTTTCCTTTCTCTCGCCTGCCAGTTGATGCTCTTTTCCAAATTTCCACAGCGGGGGAAGCCTGCGATTTTTTACATAATGATTTCAGCATGCGAGGCTGCCTCGCTTTTCCTTTTTTTTTCCCCTCCTTCCCTCCCTGCCTGCGTCCCTCTCTCCCCCGTCTCCCCTCCATCCCCTCCTTCACTTTGCGACCCCGGCGCGCCACCCGCTCCCCCGCAGGAGGGCACCCGGCTCCCGCGGGCTGCGAGGACCCCGCAGGCAGCGGTGGGGCCGGCGCTGGGCGGGCCGGGGGCCGGGCGGCCTCCGTGTCCCCAAGGAGAGCAGGGTGGCGCGGCGTCCGGGGCCCGTCGGTGCCCGCCGGTGCCCGCCTACCGCTGGCCGCCAGCCGGCGGCGGGGCCGGGGCCCAGCTGACATCACGGGGCAGGGGCGGGGAGAGGGGCCGGGAGGGGAAGGGAGGTGGGGGGGTGTTTTCCAGCTTTAAAAAGGCGGCGCCGGGCGCGCAGCCCTGCGTCAGAGCGAGACTTCCCCGCTCCGCACACTCCCTCACCCCCGTCCCCCGCCTGCGGCACCCGGCGGGCGGGTAGCTCCCGCCGCCCCGTCCCGCCGCAGCGGAGCGGGCAGTGCCTCCGAAGTCCCCACGCACACCCGCCCTCCTCTCCATGCCCCGGGCCCGGGGGGGCGGCGGCGGCGGCGGCGAGCTCCTGTGCCTCCGCGGGCGCGGCTACCACGCCGGGGGCGGCGCGGCACCGGTCCCCGGGGCGTGAAGGAGGGCGGGGGGGCGCGGGTGCGGGGCAAGGCAGCGAGGGGCCGGCAGCGGCCCGGGACGCGGCGCCGGGGTTCCGCTGCCCCGCCGGGTGGATGCCAAGCGCTGCCCCGCCGGCTGCCTCCGCGCCGCCGTCGCGGGACCCAGGCAGCGAGAGAGAGAGGCAGGCGGCTGCCCCGCAGCGCGGAGCCCGCCAGCTCGGCAGCACCATGAAGGCAGCGGAGGAAGGTAACGGGCGGCGCTGCGGGCGGGTGGCGGGCGGGCGGGCGGCGGTGTCCCCCGGTGTTTCCCCGCGGCGGCCGGAGGTTTGCTGGCGGCCGGTTGCCAATAGGTGTCTCCTTCGCCTCTCGCACGGTGCCGCCTCGGCAGCGCCACCGCTCCCGGACGGCTCCCGCCGGGCCTGGGCCCGCTCCTGATAGAGATCCCGGTACCAGCCCGTCCCGGCCCAGCGGGGCAGCGCGGCAGCGGTGTGGCATCGCTCCTCGCCGCCAGCGCGGGGCTACGAGGGAGCCTGGGGTCCGGTCAGGGGAAATCGCTGGGAGCCGGCTCGGGGATTCCCTTCGCAGCCCCGGTTTGATTTTGGGGGAGATCAGAATACACCCTGTAACTGCAGCCATCCCTGGCTCTTGGGAAATGAGGGAGCCTACTAAAAAAAAACGGGTCCCGGGCAGTCCTAGGCGCTGTAGCAGCGGCCGGCCCTCTCCAGCGCACCGAAACAGTCGGGCACGCCACGGTCGGCTGCGGGGCTCCGCCGCCCCGGGTCCCCCGCACCCCTGAGGGACCGGAGGAATGCTTGCTCCGCCACCCTGGCTGCCTGTCGCCACTTTTTTCGATGACCCACAGTAATCCTGCTGCGAAAAGTGCTCTGAAAACACAGCGGCAAAGTTTAGAGAGAGAAAGAAGGTCGAGGGCGAGGGACTTGGGAAGCGTTTTGTGGATTCCGGACTAAGCTTGGTCCTGCCAGGGGCAGCGTTTGGCCTTTGGAGCCGGGACCGGCTTCAGTCTCTCCTGTGCCAGTCGGGACATATTTCTGTCCCTGGAGCATCGTTTCCCAGCACGGCTGTGCCCACCGGCGAAACTTTAGCTCCTCTCTTTCCATGCCCGCGCCTTCAGGCAGCACCGCGCTCCGGAAGCGGGACCCCGCAGGCAGCTGCCTCGCATCACCTCCGCGCCGCCGCTTCAGCTGAGGGGCAGCTCCCGGCCCCCGATGCAGGACGGGGGGGGCACCCCCTGCTTTCCTCTTCCCCCCCTCGCCACTCCCCCGGCTGCTCCCAGGGTCCCAAGTTTCCTTCCGATCTGGTGGTACCGCCGCTTTGCTGCTGCTGCTGCTGGTGATGTAGAGCGAGTTTTGGGACAACACTGGGGCTACCATGGCCTGCCGGCCTCGGGCAGGGCACAGCGAGCCCACACAGCGCGGAAAGAGGAAGGTGTGGAGAAGTGGGCCAGAGGGTCCCGTTCATGTCCGCAGTGTTTATTCCGCAGCGTGGAACAAAGGGGCTCCCTTCTCTGGGTTTGTCCCCGGGAAGCAGGACAGGCGCTCAGGGCCCATCTTTTAACACAGATGTTTTCATTCCAGGGGTTCATTTCAGTTGACAGGACCCTGCCAATGCAAAAGCTACGAGCGTGGCTGTGAGTGCGGCTCCGCTTTTGGAGCATGCGAGCGCCTTTCGGGATGGAAGTTAATTACGTTTTATTTAATAGCATTGGCTTGCGTGCCTTTTGCACGCTCGGACTTCCAAGGGCTGCACGCACGGCGTTTCCAGAGTTCTGGTCTTCAAGGGCACTGAATCCCCTAACTTGTAAAAATTACACCCAGAGGCAACTGACACGTAAAGAGTGCTGGAGCCTCCTGTCAAAAGCGGAGGGATCCCCCCCCCCCTTTATTTCTGTGCCATTTCTGATGCCCGTGTTAAAATGTCGCTAGCCCTCGTCGATAGTTCTCTTCCCTGTTGATGTATTTTGTAAAGGACTAAAAAAATTAGGCCAGCCAGAAAGTGTGACCCAATCCAGGAAACACGTAGGGGAGCCCTGCAAGTCAGGATTGCTGCCTGCAGATTAAGGTGCCCCTTGATTGCCAAACTACAACAATCAAAGAAAATACTCCATAGCTGGCTGAGCCTGGGAAGACATTCCTGCAAAGTGTCCCGGTGGGAGGACCCCGGTTTCATCTGTGGGTCATAGCGAGGGGTGGAATCCTTTGCCTCTGAGAATACCGCATTCAAGTTAAATACTCCTTCAGGCTGCAGGGTTGCAGCTAGAACAGCCCGGCCGCTGGGTCTCTCGTTGGACCTGCGTGGAGACCAGGAGATCCAGGCAACTCAGGTTAACCGCGGGTCTGGCTGGTGGGTCTGTCAGTGGGTGGCACAACGGCACCTGGAGGCAGGGGGATGGCCCTGTTGGGGTACATCCCCTTCCTCCCCACCCCATTCATTTCGCTTTCCCTAGTTTAATGGCACTCTCCCAGTTCTAAACTGGCTTATTAACTGGCGGGACGTTGTTATTCCATCCTCACATGTGGCATCACTTCGGTTTTGCCTTTCCGTAGTACATCTTTCCTCTGTCTCCAAGGGAAGGATGCCAGTCGAAATATTTCATTGACAGCACTAACATTTATAGCCCTGGCAAATCAAGCTGTCCGTAAATAGTTTGGACAATTCAACCCTCTAGCAGGTACCAGACGCAGGAGAGGCAAAGGAGCAAGAGCAGCGAGTACCGGGAAGCTTCTCATCTCCCCTCTGGGGAGCCTCAGCAGGAGATGGGGAGCAGAGAGCAGTCCGGCACGGAGAGGTGGCCGGGGGGTAAGCCAGCGGCGAGGCGGTTGTCCCTCCAGTAGGCCAGGACAGGCAGCGGGAGGCGCAGCAGCCGCCGCCGTCGGGGCAGGGGATGCGGGTGAAGCGGGATGCTCGGCCTCTCTGTGAGGGCAGGCCCCCGGCAGTCGCATGCGGAGGGGTTTCACTGCTGCCAAGGCGTTTCGCACACTATGGTGACTCCGCGCCGACACGTCGGGGAAGCGGCTGCTAGCGGGGGGACGGAGGGCAGCCCCACGGTTGCCTCACCGCCGCCGCAAAGCAGACCCGGGCCCCGGCGGGGTAGCACCTCGAAGTCGAGAGGTCCTGCGTGACCCGGGGGTGCCCCGTCAGTCCCGGGCGCTGCCGGTGCCTGCCGGCTCCTGCGGGAGGCGAGACTGCAGCGCGGCTCGTCCCGGCGGGGTGGAGGGAGGGGGGAGGAAAGCATAACGGGCTCTGATGGAAAAAAAATGTGTTTTCCTGGCACTTTGTAACGGAGATTTCAGCCATGCGCCTGGAAAATGGTATTCCCTGAGTTTATAAGGGAATACCGTTTCCATAACCAAACGCTTAGAAAAAAAATATTCCTTTTGAAATACGGCCTGAAGCTCAGGGAGCTCAAGGTCTAGGAGGGGAGGCCCTTTACCTGGCAAAGACTTTCAAATCTGTCAGAAGTGCATTTCTGAACAAAACCAGAGACCGATTTAGTTTTCCCTAATTGACTTTTAACCCGTAAAAGTGGGGCAGGCAGGAGGCCAGGGGAGCACGGTGCCAGCCCCGTCGCATGTCACTGTCCGTAGGGTCCTTTGGAACCCCCCGTCCTCGGTGTGCGGTCTCGGAGCAAGCACCTTTCGCTCCCCGGCGCACGGAGGCAGCCGGTAACGTTACGAGTCCCACTTTAATGCGCTTTTTATAGCAGCTGGCACTAGTGGGTGCTGCAACTAAATAAAATAAATAATAAATAAATGAAAGCGAAGCCTCCTGGCTCGCAGACGCGGCGCGGTGGGGAGCCCCGGAGGAAGCCTTAGCAGCTTCCTCAACGAAGAGGGGGGACAAGCCGGTGTCCCGGACGGGCGGGCAGAGCCGCTCCCCTCCCTTTCACTCTCGAAGACCCCCGGGCGAAGGTGTAAAGAGCCGCTCCTGCCCCGCTCCTTTTAGCGGGAGCTCGGCACCTGCGGCAGTTGGTTACCACCGGGGGGGAGCAGGTGAAGTCCAACTGCCCCACTACTCCCAGCCTTCTCATCTCCACCCCGGAGAGCCGGTGGTCCGGGGTCGCCTCCGGTGGTTCCCCGCCGTCTGAGAGGTGCTCCCCGCAGCACGCAGGCTGCGCTGTAGGGGCAGAGCCGAACGGGAAAGTGCGGGTGGCGGGGGGGGCCGGGCACCGCGGTTGTTTGCATCGACCCGGAAACATCAAC